CCTAGCTCTTCTCCTTTCCCTCTCTTGATTAGTTAGTCCTTGAGATCCTGCTTTCCTTTTACTTGTATTATATCTTTCTATTTGTATTTCTTCTTTTGAGTTCTTTCTTTCTTTCTTTCTTTCTTTTTTTTTAGAATCCAGCCACTTAATAACAAAATCATCTCCACTCTCACCCCATCACAGCACCCTGAGAATCACAGGTCCAGTTGCAGGAGGGGGCTATGGAAAGCCAGAGTGAATGCAGGCAGCAAGGGAGGGGTCTGTCAGATGCCTACTCCCCATGTCACTGACTCCTGGGAACACAGAAGGCCTCTTTTCTGCTCAGCCACCTGCGGGGAGCTCCATCCACAAGAACTTGAACAGCCCATGCACCCAAATAGAGGGCAAGAGGGTCCAGGGCTGGCCAGGGGAGAAGAGGGATGAGAGCAGAAGTGAAGACCTGCCACCAGCGTAGGTCCGCTGGCGAAAGGTGTGGGGGCAGTTGCACCCCAGGGAAGTACTCTGCCACAGGGAGGAGGAGCCGGGCATTGACACAGTCAAACACCCACTGGGGCTGCACATAGTACCTGCCGATGACAGGGGTCTGCTGTCCAGGTCGGTCAACAATTTGGTGGGTGATGCCAGCGTCTGTGACATCATAGGTGGCTCCAATCCACAAAGATTTGTCCCAGTACACGTCCCTCCTGAAACTTCTGATGACAAAGGCCAGGGCCTCTCAGGGCACCTCACGGTTCAGGAAGAACTTCAGGCCTTCAAAGAGCTTCTTGTGCTTTTCTTGATCCTCCAGCTCCTTCCTGCGGTTCTCTTCCTGTAACGCCATCTCCTCATCAGCAGGAAACTCGTCAGCCTGAACTTCCTCCTCTGCCGCAGGCACCACCACATGGGCCAGGCTGGCACTGAGGGCTGCCAGTTTCTCCATGGAACTCTCAGAATCCAATGCGTAGGCATCCTCCTTCGCCTTCACCTCTGCTCGGGCCTGACCCTCAAGCTTTGGTGGGTAGTGCAGGTTGAGCAACTGGTAGAGGCGGAAGTTAACAAAGCCCAGCAGGGTGGTGTAGAACTCAGTGAAAGTGGCCATGACCCTGTAGTCCACATCTGTCGGGTGATCATGGGAGAAGGCATAGGGTGTGATCCACACAGTGGGCTGCCCCAGCACCTCAGCCTGATAGTAAATGCCTTCGATGGACAGGAAGACCTTTTGCAAAGCACGGGCAGCAATGACGTAGTGCAGAAACTCCACGGTGAGCCGGCGGCACAGCTGGATGGTCTGCACATGGCACTTGCCTGTCCGC